TTAATCCTTACATGCCCTTAAAAAAAACCCTTCACATTAGGTCAAAGAATGTCACAGAAACCTAGAAAAATCCTGTTCAAATATCACTAAAATGTCCTTTAATACTATCTAGGAAAATAATGAGAAAACCTAATGTTAAAAGCAACTGGGAAAATAACTAACAAATATTTTGATCTAAAAAGTTACTTTGTTTCCACTTCTTGGGTTATTTTCGAAATATAATTTTATTCCATTCTTGTTGCAGAAAAAAAGCAACCTATTACAGGGCAGCTACTTTGCTCGAATGGCATTAGTCTTGAGCTTCTTTGGGGAAATCTTAACATGGCTTCCCGTCAGCAACATCATGGTGGTAAGATTCCCGACTGACGTACCTTATCAAAGATGCCACCTTTCGAAAAAAGGTGGCTGCGCCCCGCCGTGTTGATTTGAAAAGTATAGCGCATGTGGGGAATCAGGAGCTACAGGAGTGAAAGAAAGTAATAGGAATGTTGGCAAGTCTTTGGGCCCGAGTTCCGAGTTCGAGTCCCCATCCCTGGAAAAATAAATGCAGAGGACTAAATTCCGTAGCTCTGCTTAGTCATAAAATCTAGAGCGCCTTCGTGTCTAAACATGATCGATGTATGTTATCAGTGCTTCAACCCAATTCTGCAGTGATTTTAAAAAATGTTAAATGGTGTAGCCTACAGAACTGTGAGTTCTAAAAGTGACATTAACTCCCATAGGTGCTCCTGTTTTTAATGAGCTCGGCTACAGTACTTCTGTGAATCACCAAATGGGTGTTTACATATTACAGTGGTGCCTCGCTTAGCGATGTTAATCGGTGCAGGAAAAATCGCCGCTAACCGAAAATATCGCTAAGCAATTTTTAAAAGCCCATAGGAATGCATTGAAACCCCTTCAATGTGTTCCTATGGGCAAAAAACTCACTTTTAAGTGAAAATCCTCCATACGGCAGCCATTTTCACTGCCCAGTATGCAAGGAATCCATCCCAAAACACAGTGGGCGGACATGTTTTTTACCCGGTGGCCATTTTGGAACCGCCGATCAGCTGTTGGGAAAACATCGCTATGCGAAAATCGGTAAGCGAAACAGCTTACCGATCATCGCAAAGCGATATTTTCCCATTTAAAACATCGCAATGCGATCGCTTTTGCGATTGCAAAAACCTAATCGCTATGTGATTTTGTCGTTAACTGGGGCACTCGTTAAGCGAGTCACCACTGTACGTTCAATACAGGGAGAGTCTGGGAAAACATATGCCTACTTAGGCATGTACAACCTAGCGTGCAATCAGAGAGCTGCAAAGATGTGTATCACACCGGGCACGGTCATTCAATGTGGGTGATTTCCCATAAAGCGACCTTTCCACCTGCTGGTGAATCACTCTAGACTGCCCCCCCAAAAAAGTAAAAGCCCTATAGCTAGACCAAAAAAGTCCAGTTTGAGCATAGGCTGGAGTGCATTTCTCCGTGCATTGTGTGATTTCTAGGGGAAAGATTGCACCATGATTATGTTCTCTAAGAACATGATCATCTTGGAACTGCAGGACCCTATGGATCAATGACTCCAGCCCCGGTCAAGCAGACCTAGTGGGGGAATCGAACACCAAACCTCTGTCTCTGCAGACAGATGCCTAAATCACTGATGTATCCAGCAGAAGAGCCACAAAAGATGCTACCTAGCCTGAGAGGTGTCATCCAGAAAAGCAATGTTTCCAGGCACTGAGGACACCCCAAAGAGAGCTTTCATCACCGTTTTCAGCATCTTGGCTGGTGTATATCAGGAGAGATGGGCCTTTAGCCCACTTCAATTTGATTGTTCCTCTTGGTTCGTTTCCAGGATGTGTGATCACTGGGCTCCTCCTAAGACCAGTCCAGAGAAGGGTGGATGAAAGGTCTTTTACCTTATAGATTGGGTGGCACAGGGGGAGCTGGCGGATTACGGCCATGGCAAATGCCTCTCCCAGCAGGTGCGTCCGGAGCAGGTGGGTGAGAGCCTGGTGGACATGGAAGTCGGCGTTACGGACCCATGTCTTGGCCAAGATCCAGTCCCATTCAGAGTCGCTGGGCAGGAAGATGGGAGACTGAGGACCGGGCCGCTGGGTCAGCTATGGGAGAAGGAGGAAGAAGAAGCTGAATAACATCAATCGCAGGAGGCTGAAACCTTCAGGGGTAACCTCTAAGATAAAGTCAAAGCTGAGACCTGCAGTCTAACAGGTAACTTTCATAAGGGCTGGATAAAAAACACAGCTAATGACAAACAGCCTCTGTTTTTGCTTTGTAAAGTTGCTCAATTCTTTGAGGTTCACTATGTGTGGCAGGCAGAAGTCCAACAGGGAAGCACATGGACCTGTCAGAGTTGTATGGGAGAAACTTGAATAATAGAAGTAACAAAGTTATCAATAAGCTAACTTACACCTCATTCCCCTTCCCAGTAACTTACTTACACCTCATTCCCCTTCCCAGCTTGACGATTAACTCAATGAGATTATTTCGGTTGGATCGTTCCTTTTGGTTTGTTTCCAGGATGTGCGATCACTGGGATCAAGCCAAATTGGCTGGCTGGCTGGTTGTCCCTTTGTGGAAGCCACTGAATGTTGGCAAGGGAGAGGAAGGTTTTTTTAAGCCCTCTCAAAGCATCAGTGATGCGCCGTGTCAGTTTACAACCTTCAAAAAGAAAGAAGCATTGATTATGGTGTACAGGTTTGCTTGCATGTGGATTGACCCAAATGACATACCGTACCTCAAAGTGGCCCTGTTTTGCATGCTCTAGAAGAGCAAACCAGGCCAGGATGATTAAGCTGTCGAGTCACACCCTTAGACAGAAGACAGTGGACCCAACTGATTGAAACCATGAAAGGACTCTTGTCTTCCTCTCCTCTTCCTCCTCTTCCCACCTCACCACCAAGGGACTGGTGCCAACCGAAGGCGAAGCAATCTTCCCAGGGGTCCTCTCTTCCTCCGAATGAAATTGGTTACCTGGATGGCCAGAGGCAGGAGCTGGTCTTGGGCCGAGAGGTGGAGCAGGCACAGCGGGGCGGCCACGTGCTGCCGGCGTCCGTTATTCAGCCCTGCCGGGACATCCTCCAGGATGCGATAATCGGCAATGAAAATCCTGCCCTCCTGTAAGGCGTGCATTCCAAGAAAAGGAGAAAGATGCGGTGGGTGAGTGGTTGAGTCACCCTACCCCCCTCCAAATGAGGAGGATGACTAGCATCGTCCAGCCACTTGGCCTGCTCTTGGGAGATTCTGGAAAGCCTCCTTTCCCTCCCCTAGTTACATCCACAGACCTCTTCCAAGCCTCCCTGTGTGAGGGTACAAAAGTCCCCCACCCGTCCCCATCTCCCGGAGAGCCTTCTTCCATCCATGGCGGCCTTCCTCACCTCCAGCTCTTTCTGCAGCGTGGTGGAGCCTCCAAGGAAGGGCGCGACCATCTCCTGAGTAACGGGGAAAATGGAGGGGATCTTCATACACCTCTCCAGCACCCTGGGGTTCAGTCCGTTCAGGAATTGGTATCCGAAGAAGACGTCTTGCTTCCAGTTGTTGGTGATGTATTCTGGAATAAAGAACCCCAAAGGGAAACACTAGGCTGACAGCCTCCGTGTGCGAGGGCCTTCTGGCAATTTCAGCCCTGCCTCCGGGGCATCCCCTCTGGGACTAAAGAAGGAAACCTGTCATTTCCAGCAGGAAGAGGAGGAAGGCACCCTTTTGGCACCCAAGACAAGAGGCCCCATGTTCCACCCACTCTGTCCTGGAGTATGGGCATGATGGTGTGTGCCCCCCCATTGTGGAAAAGTAAGAGGAGACATCACAGAGCCCCCCTAAAAGAAGGAGAACCCCTTTGTTTCCAAAAAAAAGGGGAAGTCATGAGTTTGGGAATGTGGCCATCAATCATCCTACCACCACATCGTTGAAGGACATTGCAGGAGAAACAGCGGGATGGCATTCCCGTGGCGGATTCCCAGTGAGAGTTGGCATGAATCGTTCCACATGCTCCTCAATGCTGCTCCCAGCCATGTTTGAGCTGGTGCTGCCCCCCCCCTTACCTGACACATCGGTCTTGCTGAACCAGAAAACCTTCTTGATGTCATCCAGATCTTCCCAGGATTCTTGGCTGTCGGAATAGCCTCTCAGCTTGTGTTCTATGTTCCTAACAGCGGATCAGAAAAGGGGAAGCCGATGGTGGGCCAGAAGGGAAAGGGTGCATTTTGAGGCATGCCCTCCCAGAGCTTGGAAAAAGTTGCTTTTTTTTTCAATCAGCAGACTTCTGGGGGTCCTTTTGTCTCCCTCAGGACTCTAAGAACAAAACTCCTTGGCTAGTCTATGGTGAGAATTAAAACCCATGCCCTGTGACTCTATTAGCTCAGAAGTACCCTACACAGATCTGCGTGATGAACTGTCTTTATTTTGTCTTATTAAATCCAACAGTTTTCGTTTCTCATCGAGTTGGAAGAGACCACTGAGGCCATCCACTCCTGACCGATGGCTATCCAGCCTCTGCTTAAAAACCTCCAAAGAAGGGGACTCCATCACCCTTCGAGGCAGCCTTATCTACTGCCAGACAGCTCTGAGGAACGTCAGGACGTTCTTCCTCATGTTCATATGGAATCTCTTTTCATAGTATGCAGAATTTTGTTCTGCAGTTCAGAAAAGGACTTACCGGTAGCTAAGAATTTTAGGTTCCTTGCCAAATGATAAAATTGTAGGATGTGCCTGGACATGAATTAGTCTCAAACAGATGGAACTGATGCGCTCATGAAATACCCCTTGGGATGGGTTCTCCCCCCCCCGCCAATACCAAAGCACCAGCACCTCGGACCACCTTCTTGCAACCACTTTCAAACAAACATTCAGGGCTTCCACACAACCTACTTGGTACTCGAGCGTTCAAGAAAGAGGACTGCTCTGGTGAAGGAAAACTTGTCGTTGTTCTCCAGGTCATTGATGGAGTCAGCATCCAGACAGTGAGGGACACCCTCAACGTACACCTTCCACCTGCACAAGAAGGGAGGGAGGGAGGGAGGGAAGGAAATCATTTTGTAAAACTCAGACAAAATATTTCTGGAGAAGATTTTTCTGGGGAATTGTTTTGACAGATCCAGGGGCTTTCTGTTCTTACAAGTTCTTGCATGCTTAAGGTTCTTTCCAGGACACTAATGGAGACGCCCAACTCCCCCCCAATTCCCCCTTTTTTTAAAAAAAATGTCAAAGCCATCTAAAAGCCAGGCCTGCCTCTTGCACGCTGGTCCTCCTATGGCCAAGGCCAAAATAACAAGAAAGGGTCTTCCTTGGTGGTCTTCATAACAGCCAACCTGGAGAGATGCCGATACAAAGCTTACCATTGTTGGAAAATGCACTCACTCATAAGAAGCTTGCCGTCTCTGAATCTCCTCCTTCCGGACCTTCAGGAGTACAGGCAGAGTATCCATGACAGGAGTTTTGGCTGGTGGGAAAGAAAGAACACACCGAAAGAGATGCCACTTATAGGTAGGGGTCTGAAGTGTCTTTCCAAGCCCTTAATTGCCTCCTAGCCTTGCTATTATGAGGTTTTGGCAAGTGGTCACCAGGAAAGATGTTGCAGAGTTTTGCATTTCTGTTAAAAATCATTTTTTATTAAGCAGTTGCCCAGATAGTCCCCCCCTTTCTCATTAAGCAGCACCACGGGGGAGCCTGAAGATAATTCTGCTCTGTGAATCCCTGCACTTCTGTTGTGCAGCTAGAGGAATTTCACCAGGAAATAAGAACTCTGCAACAGCTTGTTGACCGACAATAAATCTATGAAGCCTTTGAAAACAAGCTGAGATGAAATTCCAATACTGATAATCAAGGAATGTAGTGACAACCACAGTCCTTGAATGCAGAGGTTGACTAAAGGGTGGAGTTTTTTAAAAAATCAAATTACACATTTTTACCTGATATATCAATACACTGCTATTCTCCAGATTAACGGGAAGCTCCATTTATAAGTAATTTCCTTGGAAATGTAAGAAACAGATTGGCAGTCTCAGCTGGAGGAAAGTTGAAGCATTAAAAAAACACCAATCTTTTAGAAAGACTAGGTATTCCTTAATTACTTTCTCAGGTGGGATTAATCTGGAAGCAGAGAATCCAGGCCACTGCCTGTTCCTCTTTAAGCAGGTCTATTCACCTGTCTCTTCACAAAGTTCCAAAATCTGTGGCCTGTCCATCCATCCCTTATTGATGCTTTCATTCTTTCTCTTATAAATGGGAGTGAGTTATTCAGACCGTAAGTGCCAGTTGATGAGAAAAAGCGGTGGGCTACTCTGGGAAACTTTGTCTATTGTCCTAGTAGCTGAAAATCCAGGCCACCGCCTCTTCTTCTTTGAGCAGGTCTACTCACCAGCCCCTTCCCGGAGTTCCAAAATCCGGCACCCCTCCATCCACTGATAGCAGGGGAAATGGAAAGCCTTCCCATCAGGAGACGTCACGGTCACATTATTGCAGTACCATTTGTTGGCAGCCACGAGCGGCTTGCACTCTTTGTAGAGACGGATGAGCACAATTTCTCCCAGGTCATGGTGAGAAGAGACCTTATAATCACTCACCTTCAAAAGCAAAGGGGGGGGGAATTGGGTCATTTGATCTGGGTCATTGCACTTTTAGAGGCATTTGATGGCCGTTTTCAGATATTATGTCCTTTTCGCATATCCTAAGTGGCAAGGGAAACATTCTTGAGTTTTGTCTTTCTACGAGGATTTTCAAGGTGCAATATCAAACATGGTCAATAGGGGGAACCAGAGAGTATTTCCCTATATCTGTCTGGTTTGCAATCCATTGATAATGCAATGAGTAACTTGCACAATTGGAGTAGTGATGATAATAGTAAGGACAGTAATGAATAACCCAAGAAGTTCCTTTTAAATGCAACCTTCTTCCTTCTGCTTACCTCACTGATTCTACAGGCACCACCAAAGCCTGGGGAAGCCCCCATCTTCACAGCGGAGAAGCCACCTTGGCCCTCTTTCTTCCATGCCTGGGAGCATTATTTTTGGAGGTAGGAGAAACCTCCCAGGATAGAAAAGGTCTCATCCCAAAACGTGACATTTCCAAGATCTTCCCATACTCCGACACACTCTGTCACCTCAGATCTTTTCATTCCAGCTTTGGTGCGGGACAGCGCTCTCTGAATCTATAATGATTTTTTCCCCTACTTGTATTTCTTCCAAACCAAGAAATAAACAAATAAAATCCTAGCAGAAATATTACATCCAGCAGAAGCCATCAATATGTTGGGCAGTTAAGAAACTAAAGGTTTGCAAAAAAAAGAAGAAACAAACCACCCCCTTTGGAAAAGGTGTATGGTAACACATCTGCCTGGAAGTTGAGTAGGGTTGGGAAAGAGGAGGCAATCAGTTAAAGGTTGCAAGGAAAGGATGATCTAACAAGCACTTCCCAGGTATTGTTCCTCCACTCAAAACCACAAACTTTTGGGGCATGTTTACTTTTTTTAAAACAACCTTCAACAGGATCTTGCAACCAGGATTTGCCTTTCCTTCATGCCTCTTGCAGATACTCTTTCTCTAGTGTGGTCATGCGGACGTGCAGGTTTTACTGGAACTGGTGTCCTAACTACCCAATAAAAAGCCAGTTCTCCTCTTTTAAAAAGAGCTGGGTTAACTTTAGGAAATCTTGAAGAAATCTTGTTTAGAAAATGTTTCAGTAATCCACTTCCTTACTGGAGCTTCCTGTTCTGTAGCTTGTAAACCATTTTGTGTGAGTGCAAATTGAACGTTTCCCACTCGGAGGTTTTCCCAGACCTCCGCTCCAAATGCAAAGCACCACAGCACCGAATGCCACCCTTGAAACAAAGTGATTCTGCAAACAAACCAGGCTTTCTGGAGGGGCAAAAAGGTACAGAAACCGGTGGGTAAAAGTCATTGCCCTAAAGAAGATGAAAAAGCTACAGAATTGAGGGTGTGTAAAACACTGATAACACTGATGTGTCGCCCACTCCCTGAGAAGGATCAAATGCTCCCCCTCAAAAGTGCTCTTAGTAGGCTGATTATGAACCATTTTGTGCATTTATAGGATGCAGAGCTGAAGGAAAGGAACTTATTGCTCATTTTATGCCCAAATAGAAGCCTTCACCTGATGAACAGCAAAGATGGGGCCACCCTGGCTTCCTGTGGGAGGAAGATCCACTTGTTCTGATTAGAGATGATAGAATAATCATAATTTATTGGATAATAACAATCTGGATTTGGGGGTAATCTTGAGATTTCAAATTCCCTGCTTTCCCCCTTTCAAAATGTAATACGAAGTAGAGGAAGAAGAGGATTATTGCAAGAGGTCCCGACTATGGTGGTGGGCAACATTGTCGATTTGTATTTTGGTTTATGTATTTTTATGTTTATGTTTGCACTGTAGTTTAAGAAAAAAACAAAAGGAAAAAACAAAATGTAATATGCATAATGCTCTCAGATGTTAACATTAATGCGTAATGATGAGAAATCTCAAGTGAGCTTGATGTAATCTTTCCATAATGCTCATAAGATTTTTTTAAAATTTTGATGACATTTTTAAAAAAATTAACGTATACAGAACATGATGCCTACCTACTACTCAGAATTCACCTTGGCTTAATTAGTTATAATATAATGAGTAAAAAACAGAAAAAAAGTGTGCCAAAGTGTTCATCATCATGCTTTCAACATGGAAGGAAAGATGAGCAGAGCTAATAACCTTGATCTCAGGCATGCGTAGATCAGCTACATTCCTTCAAAGGGAAGAAATGACATAGAAAACCAGCTGATCTTTTCCCAAGAGATCTTCACAGAGGACACACTAAGACTGCTGAGGGTCTAATTTTCCTCTTTTTTTAAAAAAAGGAGAACCTTGGATTTGATGCAGCTTTGAGAAGATTGACATTTGGTCCTATTCCTTTTCCTTGGAGACTACAAATCCTATCATTCCCCGGCATGCTGGGCTTGGAGTGGGGGGGATTCTGACCGTGACCGTTCTAAAAGCTGCAGCAACTCTGCCTTGGGGTGACTCTTTGAAGCGTTGCTCCCGGAGGACCAGCCGGCTAGCTCTCCCTTTGCAAGAGAGCCAACCCCGAGGCCGGGCTGGAGGCCACCTTCCCTCCCTCGCCCACCACTCACCGCTCCTCGGTAAAAATCCAAACCCCAGTTGTCTAGGGCGGTTTTGGGGCTCTCGCCCTCGGTGCCCACCAAGGTGATGGAAATGGAGTCCAGGGTCCCGGAAAGGAGAAAGTTTCCAGTCACCACTCGGACGTTGTACTTGACCATGGTGGAATCTGGCCGGTGGACTCAGGCGGACCTGGCGGTATCTGACGGGAGTGAGAAGGAGGCACCGTCTGTCTGCCAGCTACATGGCAGGCTTCCATCCAGAGGATGGGTTTTAAACAGTCCCAAATTCGATCAGCCAAACAGCCCCACCCCTTCTACAGTTGGGTAGCTCCACCCACCCTTGAAAGGGGGAGAAACAGACCAGGAACCTTCTTGCGTAAGAAATATCAGTAGACCATGGTGACCTCTTGGGCAAGACCCTTCAAGATCTTGGTTTGGTGGAGATTTATTTCTGCCCCTGGGCAGCAAGAGAGGAAGGGAAGGGCTCCATCTTTGCTCCAACACGACCGGGGACAAGGAAGAAGGAATAGAGAAAATGCTGGAGAAATATTGAAGGACCCCCATGAGAGGAGAAGTTGGCTGGAGAACATCAAAGAAGGAGGGAGAAGAGGCAGGAGAAGAGATCAGAGGGGAAGCTAAGGGAAGGAAGCAAGGAAACAAAAGAGTGGAAAGAAGGAAAAAAATGCAAGAGGAGGTGATCGCTTTATAGGACCACTAGAAAATTCAGCACAGATGAGATAGTCTGCTTGGTTTCTTAGTGGTCCAATCTGTTGCTCTAGCATTTATGTTATTTTTTGAGGACCACACAGGCTCTTTTCCATTTTTTTTCTGAATGAACAAAAGAAGCAAGGACACTAGTGGGTGACAGAATTTTATAGTACTTTGCATCTTTCTTAAGGTAAAAAGCATGCTGTGTTTCTAGAGTTGTGTGTTCCCTGGCCCCAGCGCTCGAAACCATGAGTGAATTAGTCAATAATCAAGGTACAAGGACGCACTGTCAACAGACTTCCGTTATTATGTGTTGTCCAAAAAGTCAAGAGAAAAAGTCCTTCAACAAACCAGAAAGGAAGGGGAACTGACATTCCAAGGTAAGGCTGTGACCACAGAGGCACCACGAGAAAATGTAGAGACAAAATAAAATACTGTATAAGCCATTTGTTGTTCTTTAGTTGTTTAGTCGTGTCCGACTCTTCGTGACCCCATGGACCAGAGCACGGCAGGCCCTCCTGTCTTCCACTGCCTCCCGGAGTTGGGTCAGATTCATGTTGGTCGCTTCGATGACCCTGTCCAGCCATTTCGTCCTCTGTCGTCCCCTTCTCCTTCTGCCTTCACACTTTCCCAACATCAGGGTCTTTTCCAGGGAGTCTTCTCTTCTCATGAGATGGCCAAAGTATTGGAGCCTCAGCTTCAGGATCTGTCCTTCCAGGGAGCACTCAGGGTTGATTTCCTTCAGAATGGAGAGGTTTGTTCTCTTTCCAATCCAGGGGACTCTCAAGAGTCTCCTCCAGCACCACAATTCAAAACCATCCATTCTTCGGTGGTCAGCCTTCCTTATGGTCCAGCTCTCACTTCCATACAGCTGGAAAAACCATAGCTTTTAACTATGCGGACCTTTGTCGGCAAGGTGATATCTCTGCTTTTTAAGATGCTGTCTTGGTTTGTCATCGCTTTCCTCCCAAGAAGCAGGTGTCTTTTAATTTCGTGGCTGCTGTCACCATCTGCAGTGATCTTGGAGCCCAAGAAAGTAAAATCTGTCACTGCCTCCATATCTTCCCCTTCTATTTGCCAGGAGGTAATGGGACCAGTGGCCATGACCTTAGTTTTTGGGATGTTCAGCTTCAGACCATTTTTGCACTCTCCTCTT